AAGATGGAGCAGTTGAGTCATTAAAACTTCGAAAATAATTAGAACTTCTTTATCAGATTCTTGGGCCGTAGTAGACTAATGATTAGAGAACCTGACTCTGGTTCGGAGTGGTCAGAGTTCGGTCTACCACTCCACTAAGACTGACCGGGTACATGCGATATACGTGATTGTAAACTCTTTGGAATTGAAAGTTCTGTGGTCAGTCGTTGGACAGCACCATGGGTGCAAGGATCGGGAGAATATTTTCTTCCCTTTCCAATCTATGTCAGAACTGTGGAAGAAGCCTCACGAATGATTGGTGCTGATATCTATCCGAGAGATTCTGAGCTAAGACATACTTTCACCCATTCTGCGCTCTCTTGTTAAACGGTAGGCGCACCTTTCTAACTTAATTCACAAAGGCCAATGGCTGGCATGCTTGGCTTGTCTAAGTGTTGTTCTTGACCTTTCTTGTTTCCAGTTCGCAGTTTCTTGAAAACCTTGATTGTTGGCACTAAACTTCTTGAAAGTTACTTTTTGAATTTAAAATGGTTTCTAAAACCTAAGTTTTACTTTAAGCATTAACCCTTTAAAAGTCCAAGATAACTTGAGTTTTTTCAGTCTTTTGCAAAATAATTGTTGAGGGGTTAAAACCCTGAGTTGACGTGCGGACATGTCAAGTAGCTTAATTTAGGCACGTCAAAGTACTGAAAACTAATAAATTATGAAACATATAGATATAATAAATCATTTTATTGTTTGACTTTACTTTTCAAAGACAAATTTACAATCAACTCTTTTAAGTAGTCATCTCCAAAACACAACTTCTGATGGTTCATTACATTTCCATTAACAATGGACAGACAGGAACAAAAGTAGCAGAACAAGTAAAAACATGCATAAATGAGCATTTTATATATATCGTGCATATAAGTCAAAATAGTTTATTCACTGCATACAGGGACATCATTTTAAAAAATAAAACTTAAGTACCTAAACTACAACATTACCAACTTCATTATATTTTCCACACAATAGCAAAGGTGATAAAATTAGCTCACAATACCATTTATTACAACCTTTTCCCAAGTAGAAAATCGAGTTACAATATAAAACACATTTATATTTAGCAAAACATAATGTTAAATTCTAACAACGAGCATATTTTTTTTTATCTCGTTTAAATTCAAATTAACCATTTTTAATTGAGATTCCCCAACTTTTTCTATTACATTTATGTAATATTCTGCAAAAGTAAAGAATGTGTTGATTTAGTTTCTAAAATTATACATAAACTTCTTCCGCTGTATAAATTACACTTTTCTGAAATTCATTTGTATATTTACACTATAACTCTTTTGTCCCTACTTCAATCGTAAAACTCTAACGATCACAGCTTAAAAAAACGATTTAAAGAAGCTTTGTACGAAGGCATCGTACAAATCATCTAAAAATGTGCATCATTTATTTATAACATATTTAATACACTTTACGAACAAACCAAAAAAAGTTTTTTTCCTAACATAAAAATCCACTGTGCAAATTTATTACATAAGAATTATTTTTAAGAGAATCGTTTCCAAAGTAAACTCATAGAAATCAACCAAAGTTTTCCAAACGTTTGGAAATAGTTTAAAATATCTATTATTTAGCTTTTGAATTGCAAGGAAAAAATTACTAAAGTTATACAGTAAGTTTAACTTCCAACGAAGCCCATACTTGGAGAGTATGCAGTATACATAGAAGTCAAGTAAAGTAGTGATTCTCAACTTGTGGTCCTTGAACCATTTGTGGTCTGTTAGAATCTCAGCCAAGGTGATACGAATTCCGCACCCGGATAGCACTGACCACAGTGCTGACGTAAAATATCCTCAATGGTAGACGGATCACGGGTGAGAGTCCCTTGGCCATCCGAATAACCATGGGAGGTTTTTGTGAATTTCCTTTCCATGTAATGGAAATGCGGGTTAGTTCTATCTAAAAGCCTTCCGCGAAGACAAATTTCTCCCATAACTTGATCCAGGAGTTCCCTTGTCTTCTGGATTAGGTTTAAAATTACAAAGGCTAAGGAGTTGAACATTGGTAGTCGTAAACTCAAAAATGGGTCGGCTGTTTAAAGACGGCTGTATATGATCCGATAAATCATGGTCTTTAGACTTGACGATAAATATTATGATAATAATATGATATGAATAGAGAATTCAGATTTGTCTTATTTAAAAAATTGTGGCACTATCTCATCATAATAAATTTCTCATTTTGTAAATAATTAATCGGGGACTTTGCAATGGATGTGATATAAATACTTAAATGTAAACATTCTTTTTTAAGTAAATTATGAAGGTATATTCATGTGAATATACTTCAATATATTCACATGCGAATATATTGAAGAATTCTCATGTGAATAATACTTATATAGCGAATCGATACCTCTCACTAAGTTTCCTTCCAGAAACTACGATAAGACTTTTTTTCTAATTATATATTAGAAAAAGTGCGTTAACAAAATTTTATATTCTATATTTTTATTTTACTTATTTTGACTCTTTCATTACTTTCATAATTATATGATTAGGTTAACGCAACAATATTTACCCTATTTAATTATTGCGTAGTGTCCTATACAGGTATTCATTAATTTTATTGTGAGTGCCACTTATTTGGTAAGGCATCAATTGGTTTTTATGTATGGAAAGGTAAAGAATCTTAAACGTGACGTATCATATCTTAAAGTTTGTTGATGGAAATTAAGAGATTGGCGTTACTGAAATTGCTTTTTAAGAAGGGGTCTGTAAGAAAATCTGTAATCTGATCATAATCTGTTCAATGTGTTTGGAAATCTGTAACAAAAAATATAAATTTTTCTCCAAACGTAATTCAACAACTAGTTTTTATAGTATGTAATTGTAACGAGTTCTAACTCATGTAAGCTGACCTTTGAATTTGATCAGTTTACATTGGAAACGTTTTCTTATTTCAGAAAATGAACTTCTGAGATCATTTTTGACAACAATCTAATAATCCAATTGAGTCTAACAATGATGCCACAACTACAAAGCTTTCAACTACTACTTTAAAAGTTTTTAAAAATATTTGAGTAACGGAACAATAAAATCAAACTAATTATAATCTATTTACAGTTACCAATTTATCTATATATCTATGCACTTGTTTTTAACTATAATTTTTTTTCAACAACGAGTAATTGGCAGTATCAAAGCTATATTTGCCACATGATTTGTGTACATGAAAGACAATAGTTGTTGTCGCTCTCATTTGTACTGCAATAGAACTGCCAAAACATTATAAATGTCCTTTCCCCGAAATTGTCCTCATAAAGTTTCATTGATCATAGTTTCTGTTATATTGTCTGTACCATAATTCGTCAAGATTCGGTATCATTATTTGTTTAATTTGCACAACTCTTAAAGGCACAGTGCCCTGTTATAACAATTACCTGAACAAATAAGTTCTCTAATAGACAATCAAGACAATTGTGTAGAACATATGAACAAAAACATTGTATCTTCATAGCATAAAAACATCGTTACTACTGACAAAAAACCTAATATAAAATATCTTATCTTACCACTGTAAATAAATTGCATATGACACGGTAGGTGTACTGTTCCAAGTAGAAAGAAACTGTGCACTAAGCAATGAATTATGGTGCAGAATTTTAAAGTTTCAATATGTTATCGTTATTTTGAATTTATAAAATATCAAACTTTTTGAAGCATTTCCAAGTGCCACTCGAGCCATTTAAAAGCAACAAAGCGCAGTCTATACCCCCCCCCCAAAAAAAAATTAACACTTTAATTTCAAAATGGACAAGTTTTCCACACTCAGAATAATTTGTAAACAAACCTTCTTATTGCTGCATATCGAGATGTTTGAAATTCAATTTATCAAAAAAAATATATATTATCAATTTCCAAATTGAATTCACCAAAAAGATAATACAAATATTAGATTTTTTAACTTCATATTTTTCTGAACGAAATGCAATAATATTAAAGAAGCATTCGTATGTCCTACTCAGTTACTATTTTCAATAGTAATGTGAAAACAAAAAAGAAACTAATTGACTAAAATTTAATTAGACAAATAGTTAGATTCATGTGCAGAGAATTCAAAAAGTTTAAAACAATATATGTTACTTTTCGTTGACAAAAAATCTTAGACAAACATTAATTATAACAAAATTAAATGAAAGAGTTATGTAGAATAAGTATTAAATATCATATTTAAAAAAATATGTACGCGTGTTTTCAGTACTGAGAATCTATTTAGATGCATTTTGCAATTGAATATATATAAGTATTAATCACAGCCAAAAATACATTCACGATATTTGTATTCTTTTGATAGACGCCAATTTTCTTGTATAGTTTTGCCTAACAGTTTCATTTTTTATTCAAGTATACTTTATAATAAGTATTGGCTGATTATTTTTCATTTAACTTTTTTCAGAAAGCGTAAATTGCAACGTAAAATTTTAAATTTACATTGTCGAAGGAAAATAGTTATGCTGTGCGTGGATTTCGAATTAGTATTATGCGAATTAGTTCGACTAAAACTAACCAGATGGCAGTACTACCGTCCTTTGCTTTAAATTTTCTATTGCATTTTAAATAAACATTTAAAAAAGGAACTCAATTGAGATACTGATAACAAAGAAATAGAAATTAATATATGTATATATTTTTGAAGAATATTGGTAATATTTTTATATTATAGTTACATTATTTTTTGTTTACAAAAATTATTCTTCAAAATTGTATTTGTTTATTTTTAATTTCAAAATGTTTTAATAAACAAATGATTTCTAATGATTATTTCAATTATTATTTCATTTATTCTTATTATTTCAAAAATTATTTAAATATTTTAGCGTTTAATAGTAATATCTTTTAATCGAAACGAGTATTAATTCTTAATTTTGGAATTCTTAATTTAATTTTGTTAATGGTGAAAAATCAATTATTTGAAATTATATTTACATAAAATTAAATAACAAAATCAACGTAAGAAAAATAAAGAGTTCGTTAAATAAAAAAATATTATTTTACATTATGAACTCAAACACTAATTTTATGCTATTAGAATATTTCGATTATGCTTTCGAATTTCTCTTTCAAAATTTATTCTCCTATGAATTTAAAAAACATTAAAAAAAATTTTTTTAATCTTCCATTTTTTTACAATTACAGAATTTAAACTGTGCTCAAAAAATTTAAAAAGTGTTTTGAAATATACCACGTCTTTATCCAATTTATAGAAGATATAAAAAAAAGCAAAAGACAATCTTGATTATCAAAAAAAAAATTTCAATAATAAAATACATTTTTAGAGATCCCTCTGGCAATTCAATTTTAAATTATTAATTTTAACCTTAATCATAATGTCTAACCCTAAAATTAAATGTACCTTCATTTTTTTTCCTGTTCTTTTACAAGAATTATACGAGTTTTACAAAAAAATATATACGATAAATCGACAAATCGTGTCCAAAAGAAAGAGTTCCTATAAAAAAAAAAAAAACAATAATTTTATAATCCCGCCTTCCTGCTGGAAGTCTTTTTCCTGGAAATGAGAAAAACTGGAAGTAAAACCACGTCGTTTCTTGCTTGCTTTCGAGAAGAGTTGAATACTCACAACAACCTTGATTAATTACAACTATAACTTATATATTTACAAGTGAAAAATTTTAGACTGAAGTAAAAGCTAAAATTATAGGTTTTTTATTTTTTAAAAAAACAATTCAAATTCGATAAACAGTCCTACATATATGCTTTATATCCATTGAAAAGTTATAGTAAACGTGAATCATTTTACATCTCGTTTTTATCTCATTTCCGCGCAAGGCTCATTGAGGTGGTTTTTCTCAAAGTGGTAAATCAATATTCCGACAGGAGAATTTTTGGTACGCTATTGTCCGCTAAAAATTTCTCTGAAAAATCTTACTAATTAACATGTAAATATACTTTAAGTGTGTATAGATGTAAAAAACTCAACTTTGTTTTAAATTGATTCGTGTTTTATGCTCAGAATAAGCATCTGAGAATACGCATAGCACATGCGTATAAATTTGTTCGTCTTCATGTAAGAGAGTAAAGAAGTAAGAACAGAAATGCTAGTTTCAGGAGAGTGTACTGAGGATGCAAGAGATTGGAGTTGTTACAGCCATCTCCTTCACATTGGCAGTAGTGCATAAATACCATGTGTGTACCAGCACGACTGATGCAAGTACCGGCATCTTCTGGATTATAGAAACCACAGCTTCTAATTATCCTTTCTTCTCCTCGAACTGAAAAAAAAACAATATTTTGAATACATAACAGAAAGCAGCGCCCTATTTTTATAAATAAATGTTTCATTACGTTAGAACTTTTTTAAAAAAAACACGAGTTATTATATTTAATGGAATATGAGAAAGTTTTCTTTGGATACCGTATGTAGAGGCTTTAACTTGTTAGCGACCATTGTCCTAATATATGAAAAAATCATTTTTTCTAAGAACTGGGTTCCCGCAAGCCTTAAAAATTTTAAAAAATATTAACATAAAGGAGACAAAGATAAATACTTCAATATATATGTGTGACCATCAAAATACGTTATTTCTATATTTAAATTAAGTTATTTCAAAGAAGATATATCTCACTAGCAAACTTTTTCAACAAGATCTCTAAACCCTAAATTAATATCTTAAAGTAAGAAATTGCAACTAAGATTAACATAAGTTTACTATCACTATAAACATAATTAACTTGCTAACTAATAGCTTTGCTACATGGACACTTATCACCACATTTTATGCTCATAGTCATAATTTAATCTCATCTTATCAATCAATCTCTCTCATATATCATCAAAAATACTCCATTTGCATTCCCTCTACCTCATTGAACCATCTCATTGATTAAGCCATCATATTGATCGAACTATCACATCGATCAAGCCATCACATCGGTCAAACCGACACATCGATCAAGATCAGGATGAATGTGTAAAGGTCCCCACATGACTTCAGGCAGCCAGATATCCTTATTATGCTCAGTTCAGTTCGACACATAAAAACTATATAGATCGATACTGCTTACTCAAAGTTATTTGAAAAGATCACACTAAAAAGGCTTAACCATTTATTGACTTCCTGCCAGATAAACAATATGATTCTCTCGAAAACCTTTCAACCACAAAACAACTCGTTGGAATTATTGAAAACATCACTCAAGGCTTCTATAGAAAAAAACTAACTGCACTCCTGATGCTATATGTAGCCAGAGTTTTCGTCCGTGTCTGGCACCACAACCTAATATATATTATATTGTAAATTATATATTATATTATAAATTATACTTTATATTATAAATTATATATTATATTATAAATTATACATTATATTATAAATGATATATTATATTATAAATTTATATGTAATAAATTCATTACAACAAAATCCCTGATGACATTATTCTGTTAATGGACAGCTATTTAACATTTGGTTTACAGTATAGAACGCACGTATCAAAAGCATAATTTAGAATTACAAAGGCTAAAAGCATCTTTTATGCATTACAGCCCAAACCGACAAGAAGAGCAGAAAAGACCCTATACCTACGGTAATCATTACTATCAGTTACAACGCTTTTACTGCCGGTATTTGCCTTTTTCAAAAATTTGCGGTCCTGATCGGCTGCTTGTTTAATCGGGAAAAAACTAAGCGGAAAAAAATACCTTTTTGGGTGATTTTTCTGCAAATGGTCGCTCCAATAGACATATTGTGTGGGATGAATCGTTGACTACAATCTGTGAGTGCAACCGTGTGTCTTTTAAATGGATGACCACAGTTTGGATCATGTTTGGAATTGCATTCCCAACAATGCAGACATTCACCTAAGCAATAAAACAATAAGCTCTATTAATATAGATATTCAACTAAACAGTAAAACTGAAAAGTTTATAACATAGACATTCGCCTAAACAATAAAACAATAAGCTCTATTAATATAGATATTCAACTGAACAGTAAAACCTAAAAGTTTATAACATAGACATTCACCTAAGCAGTAAAACCATAAATTTCATAACATAGACATTCACCTAAACAGTAAAACCGTAAATTTTATAACATAGACATTCACCTAAACAGTAAAACCGAAAAGCTTATAACATAGACATTCACCTAAACAGTAAAACTATACATTTTATAGCATAGATATTCACCCAAACAGTAAAACCATAAAGTTTATATCATAGGCATTCACCTAAATAGTAAAATCATAAAGTTTATAAATAAACACTCACCTAAACAGTAAAACGATGAGGTTCGTTAACATAAGTACGTATTAATAATAAACAACTACAAAAAAAAGTTTAAAGTCTATATATTAGAGGGACCGGAATGTAATGTAATATCTTTACACTAAATGCAAACACATAAATTTTTATGCATTTTTATATTTTAAGCAAATCAATCTCCATTATCTTCTGCCCGTGTGTAAATTTTTATTGACGTATCGATAAAAATTGATTGATTTTTGAGCAAAAATATTAAATTTAATTTTGAACATCATCCATATCTTAAGATATTTTGCCACTTAGAAAATGTTGTACGAATCGAAAAAAATGGAAATTAGACGGCACAATATTGGGTGAGTACTGGGTGATGCAAAGATTCCCACACAATTCATTAATTTTTTTTCCACGGCTGGTCTTCCTAATCGATTCGTTTGAATTTAGGAACCACGTCCAGCATTTATGAACGTCAAGCAGTTGGATACATATTGTAAATTATTTTGATAGCAAATATTACATTACTATCCTTTTGAAACTCCAAAAGTGTACAATGCATAGGTATAGTTTGTCATTTAGAAAGTCATTTCCAAATAAATTGTAATAAATAAGTAAGTAAATATGATTTGATTATTTGCGAATAATTTGCTTTTATGAAACCATCAATACACCCGAAATTGCTGATAACAATAATAGTTAAATACCTAAATTTTAGAATTTAAAAATTCTAACTTCAGTAGTTTTTTCTACAGTCCACAAATATATTGATAAATGTTAGCAGATAAAGAATATAGCATTTGTTTACACTCTATGATACGAATCTATTGTTCATGGTGATAGGAACATTATTAAGTTTGTTACAAATTTAAATGATATTGTACACAGTTGCAATATTATTGTGTAACCTAGTTTAGATGCTTTTAACAGCTATGAAATATAAACCATCTAAATGTGAATAGTATACGCGAACTGGATATCGTAGAATATTGTTAGTCAACGTCTTATTTACCACTTTGAATAACATAAAAAATGAAAACATTCATGAAAATTGTAGTATCCATTTCTGGTGTAATTATCTGTTCTCATTTAAAAGTTGAATAATCTTTTTATTCTTATCTTGAATAACGAAGTATAAATACCAGGGTTAACATGGAAACTTAAAAAAAACGAAAAAATATTTATTAACATATTCAGGGTTACCACGAGGAACTAAAAATGCAAAAAAGCTAATTAATAAAATCCAAAGTTTTATTAAGAGAAATAAAAATTAGCAATTTTTTTATACCATCTTTTTTGCGGTTTACTATAGAAAGTGATTTCACGGAATATATTTGCTTTAAATATGAATAACTTGAAATTTAAGTTATAGTGATAGTTACGACTGAATAATTAAAGAGATAATAATTGAATAAAAGTGAATTGAGTTTCTACCACTTTTTACTTTTATAGCCGCCTGTAGCATCCCTGTTTATCTTTTGATATAAAACCGTATCATATGATAGAATTAATTAACATCTCTCTCTCTCACTTTATTATATATATATATATCTATATCTAATAAATTATACATTATATTA